AATGATGATACTTTTTTTAACAAATAAAACAAATTCACTCTGTATAAAAAATATAGTTTGCTAGATATTAAAAAAAAAAAACAAAACAAATTTAGATATCCATTTAAGTTGTTATTAACCCAAGAGGATTTGATTGTAAAGAAATATATATAAAATGATGATGAACAATCCACTTCTTTCATCTCTCAATTGTTTTTTTAGTCTACGACATTTGTCATTTATAACCCAACAAAAGTCCATATTTTGTGGTATATCTTATATCATATTCGTCCTTATTCTAACTTTTTATTATTATAAAGAAATAGAAAAAGCATTGAAGAACCAGCCCACCCCACACTCGCACTATATTTCTAACATTTTAATATTTTGAGGAGTTTATTATTTTTCTTTTAAAACTTCATCCATATAACTTTAGAAATAAAATAAAAACATAACTAAATCCTATTTAGTAAATATATATTTTGTACAACCATAATCTAAATTAGATAAGCCAACGAGGCTTACCAACTCCAACAGCTCCATCTACTTTAGATCCCATATTCTCATCCCAACATCCATAAATTAATTTTTTTGAAAAAGTTAAAATTTTAATGTTGTTTAAGTTATAACAACCTATGTGGTATTTTGGTCTTTACTATAAATCAAACTATAATCAAAGATTCGAAGCTTCGAGCTTCGTTTCTTCCGATCTATTTTTTCTTTTATGTTATTTGGGTGGTGGGGTATGAATGTCCATTTATGTCTTGCACAATTATTATGCAATAAGTGAAACGAAATTTGGAATTATGTCGATATAGGTTCTAAAAGACACTCTTCTATTCTCTTTCTCAAAAGCTCACACCTTTCATAAAATGCTTCATTAAACCAGTAACAAGTTGCTTTAGATTCTCTCCCAGATTTCATTCCCATTCGTCTTGATTTCTTGAAGATTCCGCCATAGAAGAACTCCTGGTATTTGCCTCTTCTTTATTTCCTCTGTTCTTTCTTTTAAGGGTTCTTGAATTCTGTCAAGAAACCTATCTGGGTTTTCTTGAAATTGCAATAATTGTGAATAAAAAGAAACCTTTTTTGATTTGGGTATTCTCTGTTTTATGTCAACCCGTGGGTTTCCTCAATTTTGTCAAGAAACCTATATGTTGTGACAACATAAACCTTTCTTGATTTGGGTGTTCTTCTTTCTTCTTTCAAAGATTAACCTAAATTCGGAAAATGGACAAGAATTTCAAAGGTCCTCTATTTACGTTTGTAGAATTACTCTACACTTTGTGCTGTTTTTCATTCATTTCTTATGACTCGGAAACCTCAAAGTTAGCTTATTTCTCAATTATTTCCAACGTGTAACAGACTATGATAAAGTTTCGGAGAAAATAAGGTTGATGTCCGACAATATTGGAAGTTTGGAACAATGAGGTTCGAATTGTGGCTTGGAAGTATCTTGTTTATATTTGGAAGTCTATCCAATGTAACAGGTAATGTTATCTGTTCTTGAAGGTTGACTTTGAGGTCAAAATTATTACTCCCAATTTTGAATGAAATAGTCTTGATAAAAATCGGAGCTTTAACAAGAAAGATGTAGGTTTAGTGTAAAATCTGGTTTTCCCTCTTCAATTTATGTTTATATTCTTGGATTTGCAGTTGCCTTTGTGGGAATAAACATCGCCGGCGAACTTTCAAACCTACCGTCGCCGGAGCAGGTGGTGGCGATCCTTAAAGCCCATAAAATAACACATGTTCGGCTTTTTAATTCCGACGTTCGTTTGATTAACGCATTATCAGACACAGGGATCGAAGTTATGATTAGTGTTGCTAACTCGGACATCATGGGAATCGGAAAATCACCTTCAGCTGCCGCCTCATGGATTAACACACACGTTGCAGCGTTCAAACCCGCCACCAATATCACCGCCATTGCTGTCGGAAGTGAAGTTCTTTCTTCTACTCCAACCGCTGTCCCTTTTCTTGTTTCCGCCATGAACTATCTTTACAAAGCTTTACTCGCTTCAAATCTAAACGACGTTAAAGTCTCAACCCCTTTATCAATGGATTTAATTCCGACGCCTTTTCCGCCGTCCACCGCCACTTTTAACCTTTCTTGGAATTCAACTATTTACGATATTCTTGAGTTCTTGAAAAACTCGAATTCCTTTTACATGTTGAACGCTTATCCTTATAAAGATTACATACAACACAATGGTGTTTTTCCGATTCAATATGCTCTTTTTCAGCCCCTTCCGGTGGTCAAACAAATCGTTGACCCAAACACTCTTTTCCATTATGAAAGCATGCTTGATGCTATGGTGGATGCCACGTATTACTCCATAGCTGCTTGTATTACTCCGGTGATCCCCATTATAGTGACGGAAACAGGGTGGCCGTGGGCGGGTGCCGCCAATGAAAGTGCCGCCACGGTGGAAAACGCGGAGACTTTTAACAATAACTTGATTAAGCGTGTTTTGACCGGGTCTGGCCCACCGAGTCAACCGGGTATTCTTATGAACTCGTACATTTTCGAGTTGTTTTATGAAGATGCGGATCAAAGCTATGGTGTGTATTTTAGAAACGGGAGTGCGGTTTATAGTCTTGATCTTGGTGATTCTATGGAGAATAATACGGGCGGGTTTTGTGTTGCGAGAAAAGGGGCGGATCCGGATGGGTTGCAAAACGGGTTGAATTGGGCATGCGGGCAAGGGCAGGCGAACTGTAGTGCTATTCAATCCGGGCAGCCATGTTATCTGCCCAATACCGTTCAAAACCATGCTTCTTATGCTTATAATGACTATTACCAAAGAAAACGGATCGAAGGTGCAACATGCGACTTTGGTGGCACAGCTATTATAACTAATATTGATCCTAGTAAGTGTCGTTAACTCTTTATTCTTTTTGTTAGAAAGTACTGTATTAGGGAAGGGAATGAGACTCCAACATATATAAAGGCAGATAGGTTCATGTCATGTCTAGCTGACATGGGACTAGACATTTTTAGATCGGAGGTTAATATTGTAAATGAGCAAAACCCTAACTTTTTTCGGATTCATAACGAATTATTGTGTCTTTCTCTTGCAGGTTACGGATCGTGCATATTTAAAGGAAGGTGAGATAAATATTTTTGGATCATGATTCATGATAAGTGTCTTATTTTGATATCTTTGACTAGATTTTTAATGTGGAAAAAATGTTTTGAATAGTTCAAATTCGAGCGCCGGTAGGGTTAGCCCGCCAGCATTTGGACCGGTGGGTCCCACGGGAAGTGCATCGCCAACACATCGAGTTCATGAAATTGGATATTTGATGTTGGCAACATTGTTTTTTTGCTAGATGTGCATATGTGTAGATTTTGTGCAGATTTGTATAGTGGATTCCATTGGGTCTCATTATGCTTAATGCAAGTGATTTTGTTTAATGTTTTGTGTTGATATGAGTATCATCATTATATTCAAAATAGTTTATCATTCGAATCATTCATACTTGTTTTCTGTTTTGTTGTACCTTTTTTCAAAGGTGTTGTCAAAATCATATTTGTATAGATGATTACATATTTTGTTACCATTTTTTTTTTCATTTGAGAATCAAATCTATATACTTGAACAAAGTTAATAACTATGAGATATGTGAATTTGTTAAGATTGGGTTTAGTTGTTGTTCAATATGTTTGTCTCTTATCATTTGATTAATAGAATATTAACCATTGTGTTCTATGGAATGTTAATTATATATTACTATGATCATGATTTCATAGGTAGTCTTGATTATTTAATATGGTCATTATTTAATAAATCAAATATTGGTATATGGATATTAGTTTGGTAATCGACATTAATTAATTATAAATATATGTTTTAAATATAGTTTTTTATTTAACAAATGTCAGTTTTAATATAACATCAAATTCGGATTAATAATATACAAATAACTATTTTGATTATGGATATCATGTAGTAATATATTTTATATTTTACAAAGTCTTTTAAAAGAACGATGTAAATAAATAGGTGAAAAAACTAATATGTTGAGTTGTTTTTGACAATCTATAAGTTAAAAAGGGAAAAAATATATCTTCTCTTCTAATAAAACAATACATTAGATGACACGTGGCACCACCTTAGTCCATCCGTCTTGGCTTTTCCCGCTCATTTGATCTAACTAAAATTCCATAATTGCCCTTCATGTTATTAATCACCAAAAAGTCGAAAAATTTGAAAAATCTTTTTATAAATCGGTAAATATTTAAATCAGGAAATCAGAATATTTGAAATTTGAATTTTCAATTATACCATATAATTCTGCAACAAATATGACAGAAAATAAACGTTAAACTCTATCACTCCCAAAAAATCAGCAAATCAAATTTCAATCCCAATAAATCAGCAATCGAATATCAGTCGGATATATATACACCTTTACATGCGTGTTTACCTTCCTCTTTCACTACGCATAGATCAGACTTTATTCATCAGGTAAGGAGACTACATTGTTTACTCTGTGTTTTTAATATATCGATGGTATACTCATGGATTTATCGCTCTTTTTTTGTGGTTGCAGTGTGTTTTTCCTATATCCAGGGTATATACTCATCGACTTTTTAGTTTTGGACTGCATAATCAACCAGGTTAGTTTACTGTTTTTTTTTTAAACTGTTAACCTTGTTTTTTATAACCTGTTAACCCTGTTTTTTATAAACTGTAATTAATCATATTTTTTCCTAAATGTATTTAATTGTTTTAATTGTTTTTTATAAACTGTTTCATCATGTATCTGTATCACGAATTGTTGAATAGCAATGTATTTTATAAACTGTTAATCATGTTTTTCCTTATGTATTTTAACTCATTTATGTACCCATAACTCACTTAAAGAAATTATAACATTGTGTAATTCTATCGATCAAAATCACTTAAATAGCAATGTATTTTTTTAAGTATATGTTTTCTTTACGATTTTTTTTGATTATATTTAAAAATTTTTGTTAAATATACAATTTTTTTTTTAATTTTCAAGGTACAATGGAAGATATTACTCCAGTAAAGGAGATTGACTCAATCAAGGACGATTTCACAATAAAGGTTCACACCATACGTCTTTGGACTCAAAAGTCAAAATTTGATGCAAATGACACATACTCGATTGAAACGATTCTGATGGATGAGGAGGTATAACATGCATATATTCAATTATTATTTTTATAAAAAATTATTGATATTTGTAAATTAATTATTTTTTAGGGAAGGAAAATTCATGCATCTTGTGTGAAGAAATGGTTTCCTAAATTCCAGCGCTATTTAAAAGAGGATACTTCATTATACATCAGGAAACCTAATGTCGCACCAAATACTTCAAACTTTAACTTTGCTGATCCGGAAAGAAAACTTACTTTAAATCCTGATACAACTCTAAAAGAGTGTGAAAACTTTTCTGGTTCTGCACATGACTTTGCTTTTGTTGACTTCAATACGATTCTTTCTAACAACATCCTGGAGTCAAACTCTATTGGTTAGTTCTTTTAATATTAATTTTTCTTATATAACATCCTACTTTCTTTCTTTTTATTATAAATTCATAATTTTTATAAACTTAAGCATATGTTTTGTTGCTTTTGTAGATATTATTGGACACATTTTTGAATATGGGCGTATGGACACCTCGGAACAAGATAAATCAAAACATAAAATGCTCATGCATCTTCAAGAGATAAAGTATTCACCATTATTATAAACAAATAATATATTTTCTTTTTAAATTATCTACATTATTTCTTTACTTTTTAAGGGATACTAAGCTTAAGGTAACTTTGTGGGGTCATAATGCATACTACATGCATGATTTTCTTACTAACAATAACAGCCTTGCTCCAGTTGTTGTTATTGTTCAATTTGCCAAAGTGAAGTTTATTAATGGTTTGTAATTATATTTAATAACCATTTTAAGAATTTTATATTTATAATTTAATAATTAATTTTATTTTTGCAGGTCATCCTTTTATATCCACTTACTTTGATGTTAGTAAGTTGTTCGTAACAATGATATCGATTAAATTACAATCTACAAAAACAAGTATTTTGATTTATAATTTCCTTTGTATTATCATATTTACTTATTTCATACTATAATAAATGTAATACCTTTCTTTTTTATCAATGAACAAATTGATATATATGAAAATGGACAACAACTTTCATCAAGTGGAATCAAGATGATTGCATCAAAACAAGACACGAAACACGATGACTTTTTGAAAAATAATTTGTTTTCGAATATTGATGATGTGTTTGAACCTTTGGAGGTACTTTATGTTATTTTTAAAGTTGTTACTTTAATGAACTTTTATTTTTAAATTTTAAAAGTTTAAGAAACAAACATAGTATATTGTTATAACGAAACTAACATACTGGCATAAACTAACATTTTCTTAACATTAAACATTATTTAAATTTCCAGGAAAAAACGGTCGTTATTGTTGGTACTGTTAAGGGAATACGTCAAAACATACGTTGGTATTACCTTGCTTGTAGCAACTGCAAAAAGTCAGCAAAACAAAAAGAGTCTTCTACTAATAAGGTTGATGGTTCTCATGAAGTGGCCGAAATCGTTACTTATGAATGTGCTAATCCTAAATACAAAAATATCAAAATTTCGGTTATTCCAAGGTATTACATATTTATTTTATATAAAAACAATATATGTTTATCATAATTGTGTAATATAATATGATTTTATACTTTATTTAGATTTAAAACCCACTTCGGGTTCAAGACAACACAGGAACCTTGACTTTAACCTTATTTGATCAAGAAGCAAAGAAGTTGTTTAAATATACAGCTAAAGAGTTGTATGATAAAAACAAGAAGATATTATTTTATAGTTCTAAATTACTTCTTTATGTTATACAATTATATATTTATACACAAATTTTCTAACAATATTTATTTATATTTTAGCTTGGCATCAATTTGGATTTGTATCCAATGGAGTTGAAAGTTGTGGTGGACAAAAAGTTGGCAATTAAGATTGATATCTCAAGTTACAATATCACAAAAAGTTGGCAATTAAGATTGATATCTCAAGGTTGTAGTTTTTAAATTATAATTTTAAAGTATTATGTTTTAATGTATAACAACTAACTAAATTTTTTTCTAGGATTCTTTTTCACAGACAGGTGACAATTTAACACCTTGTGCTAGGGACAACTCAACTGCAACAAGTCCTACAAAGTTGATTTCTACACCAACTGAGTTGAAAAGAAATCTTGCTACATGCATAGATCTTGATGAAATGGAGAATTTGTCAACATCTAAGTCTGCTCGATTGTCACCACCGGATGAACAACCAATGCCTCTTTTGGTCCCTAAGAAAGAAAAGTAAATGTATTTTACTTTTACAAACAATCTTACTTCATGGTTAATTTTGTTTCTGCATCATAGACTCTTAAGCCGTTTACATTTTTAGGTGGATTGGTTTTGAATGGTTTTTGTTTGGGATTTGATGGTTTTTATATTTATTTCTTGAATATACATTATGTTATTTTTTTTCATTCCTATAATGTCGTTTACTATGTTATTTTGATTTTTGTAGAACTGATTTTATACAACATTGATTTTATCTCCCAAATGACTATTATTTATTCAATATTGGATAATATAACATCTTATTATGACTTTATTCTTCATTCAAAAGTATTCATTAAGGAGTAAACATTAATCTAGGGATTAATACAATAAATAGCAATCTACTATCATTTATTTATGTATAGAAAAAATAAAAGTATCATGATATTAGACATCAAATATAAACATTAAGTAATATTAGGTATTTGTTATTGAACATCACCAAAAAAATCCTTTGATAATAACATTGTGTATTTCTAACTGTATTTAACTAAGTTATTTATCCATAAATCACTTAAACAAATGATAACATTGTGTATTTATATCGATCAAAATCAGTTAAATAGAAATGTACTTTCTTTTTTACTGTTTCAATTTTTTAATGTTTTTTATTTAACTGTTTTTTTGTTTGCTGATTGTAATTGTCAAATTTACAACTTTCTCTTTCTTTTCCATGTTAGATTTTTTTTCTTTTTTCTTTTTTTTAAAATGTCAGAATTTGAACTTACAATAACCAATATTTATGAAAAGAATGCGAGTCTAATAGTACCAATGGTGGAATCCGGATCCCCAAAATTGCCCTTAAAGTTTTATTTTGAATTTGTACATAACGTTTCTAAATAGGTTCTTCAAGTTCCTAATTCAGTTTTAAGGTTCTTCTACTTTATAAATTCATGTCTCGACACAACAAACGACTTAGCTTTAGATCGAAGTTTGAAAGATTTATTCCATTTGGAGGAGATTTTAGACAAATTTTTGTTTTCGTAGAATTCCATTCAAATAGAATTTTCAGACCTGAATAAAAGCTCCTATAGTCCATAAGCATGCATTTGAAGCTTTAGATCGAAGTTTGAAAGATTTATTCAGGTCTGAAAATTCTACCAACTCAGATATTCCGTTTGGAGCGAAAGCTATTGTTTTTGGAGGAGATTTTAGACAAATTCTACCTGTTATTCCAGGTGGAAGTAGACAAAACATTGTTAATGCTTCTTTAAGCTCTTCATATTTATGGCAACACATAAAGATCCATAAATTAACAAAAACACATGAGACTAACTGTTGGAAGGGATCAATCTGATATAGAAAAAATCAGAGATTTTGCAAAATGGTTGTTGGATATAGGAGAAGGCAAACTTGGTGGTATCAACGATGGAGAAACGGTTATTGATATTCCAGATGATATTCTCATTAATGATCCACATGATCCCATAGGTTCATTAATCAACTTCGTATATCCTTCAATTTTGGAAAAGTACAACACTACAAGCTATTTTCAAGAAAGAGCAATGCTTGCTCCAAAAAATGAAGTGGTTCAGGAAATAAACGACCGTTTGCTATCGAAGTTTCCAGGAGATGAGGTTGAATATTTAAGTTCAGATAGTATATGCCAATCTGAATTTGTCCATGATCAGTTTGATGCAAATTTATATTCACTTGATGTTTTAAATGGTCTGAAAGTATCGGGTTTACCAAACCATAAGTTAGTTTTAAAAATTGGTGTTCCCGTTATGTTGCTGAGAAATATTGATCAGAAAAATGGATTGCGTAATGGGACAAGACTCCAGGTGATATCATTGGACAAACATGTTATTGAGGCACGTATCATATCTGGAACTAATATTGGAAACCACACTTTTATTCCAAGAATGTCATTAACTCCATCAGAAAAGAAAATTCCCTTCAAATTCCGAAGAAGACAGTTTCCATTGGTTGTATGTTTTGCAATGACCATTAATAAGAGTCAGGGACAGTCGTTATCGAAGGTTGGTTTGTTTCTCAAACATCCCGTCTTTTCACATGGCCAATTGTATGTTGTCTTATCTTAGAGTTCAAAGCAGGGAAAGATTAAAATTGTTAATTTTAGATAAGGATGATAGTCTCACAAATAAAACTTCCAATGTCGTTTATAAGGAAGTTTTTGGGAATTTATAAGAACCGTTTTTCTACCATCTTTTATTTTGTTTTCGTGTATCACACTTCATCCATCATATTAATTAATTAATTTATAATACTTTATTGTATTTGATTTATTCATGTTAATTACATTACAATATCATAATTCTTCATTATTTCTAAAATTTGATATCTTTTTATTTACACTATCAAAAGTATAATTATATTTCAATTTTTAAACATGGAGTTCCACGGGTTTAAACCTAGTTGAAGAATATACTTTCGGAAAAAAAAAATTCAATATTATTCTCAGTGTAAAAAATAGTAGGGTATATGCCAGCAACATATTTTTCAAGACCGTTGTATTCTTATAATAAGACTCGACTGTAACTCAAATTTATAAATGAGGCCCGAAAGTGCATTGAATAATTTTTGTTTGGTAATGTTTAACTAAGGCCATCAGGTGTGGTATACGTTTTTACTCGTAAAACTGACGTGGCCGGGGGGGGGGGGGTTCTACGCGTGAACACTGCCCCCTAGTCCGTAAACGTGATGCGGATTGAAGCCATTCACGCGTTGTTACGACCAATCAATGCAAACGGTCAATATTTGAGTCGTTGTAAATTAAAAAAAAGTTAACTTTTTAAACTTATATAAATACCAAACAATTTTAAACCATTTTACACCACAACAATTCTTTACATATCTCTCTACTTTCTCATTTTCTCTCAAACGTATGGAGCAACATCAAAATACCTCTACCACTCCAAACACCCCAACAACCCCAAACACTCCAAATGATCAATATCAATGTTACATTCAAATGCTAACATCCCCAATACAACAACAACCTATATTTACCAACATTTCATTTCAACCAAACTTCTTCCAAGAACAAAGACCACAACCATTCAATCAACCCCAATTCCAAGGTTTTCAACAATTTCAACCCCAACAATTCCAAACACAACCATTTCAACAATTCCAAACACAACAATCTCAAGTCCCTTTTTCTCAATCCCCACCTATAAATCTGGACAACGACGACGATGACCGGGTCGAAGAAACACAACCGTCTAGGCGAAGGAAATCAAAAGGAAAATCTACAAATAAAAGAGGAACGGCTTGGATCGAAGAGGAGGAGGAAGCTTTAGCTAAAGCTTGGATTTCTATATCGTGCGACTCGAGGACGGGCAACGTGCAAACGGGAAACAGTTTTTGGCTTCGTGTTTTAGATCACTTTAACTCGCTTTTGGGAAGGCAAACGGGCAGAACGTACGACGCGGTTAATGGAAAATGGCGTGAACTATGAGCGGCGTGCACCAAGTTTAACGAAATATATGAAAATCTAAAAAATATGCATAAAAGTGGTAGCAACGATTGCAATATTTTATCAACCGTTTGCCAACAATTCAAAGTTACCAACGACGGTAAAGTGTCCGGCCACCAAAAAGCGTGAGAAATTTGTCGTAAGGGTCCAAAATGGGTCCTTAACCCGGAGACTTCGCATTCGGAATCCACCACCGGCTCCAACAAAAGGCCAAAAACTTCCGAGTCGGATGTGGGTATTGGTGTCGACCTCAATGACGACTTCGATGGGACCGAAGGGGAGGGTCCACCGGAAGTCCAAGTTCGTCGACCACCGGGAAGGGATAAAGGGAAAAAAGCGGCGTCTTCAAGCGGAAAAGCGACTAACAAAGACGTACTTGCGGACAAAATTGACAAAACTATAAGTTTTTTACAAAAATATGAGTCAACGGAGGAAACTCGGCGTCGGAAGCAAGCACTCACCGATCTTCAAATTTTAAACACGAAGCTGCAACCGGATATCGACCCGAAAAATTTAGCCGCGTTTCTGAAAATCCAACAACAAGTTCTGGAAAAGTATGGACCTTAGGTTTTAACGTTTTTAATATTTATGTTTAATTTCTATGGTTTTTAGTTATTTAGGTTTTAATTTTTATGGTTTTATGGTTTTTAGTAATCTAGTTTTTAATTTTTATGTTTTTTATGTAATGTGAAATATATAATTATGCTATTAATTTAGGTTTTTTTTTCTTAATTTTAATCTAAATATAACAAAAAAATAAAAATAAAAATAAACAAAACATTGTAGAGCGATACCCATTTCCATGGCTTGTGAACATGTAGTGAACATGTAGTGGGGGGTGATGTGTCGTATTATAACGCCCGTAGATCCGGGCTAGTCAATTTAGAGATAATAGGGGTCGAAAACGACTTTTTGACAAAAGATTATTTAGAATAAATAATCTTAACCAAGTTGTAGAATAAGTCTCAAGGGTTCCGTATATATAAAGAACGTTGAAATCCGAGTTATAACGAAGAAGTTATGGTACGTCGAAGTTTTATGGCAAAACCGGCATGACACCGGGAGACGTAAATAGTTAATTTACGATGGAGGACTTTTTAGCCTTCGAAATCTAAACAAAAGTTGTAGTATACGTTAAACCGACAACATACAAAAAAAGAACGCCGAAATCTGACTTCGTATGAGGAAGTTATGAATTTTCTAAGATTTGGCTTAGCAGTGCACAACCCGAAACTCGAATTTTAGATCGAGCGGTTTTTGGCCTACGCGACCTAAATGAGAATTGAAGATCTCATTAATAGGAACTCAACGGTAAAAAGACAGACGAAAACATAGTCTGTATGTAGAAGTTATGAATTTTATGCGGACATTTAACAATATATTCTCCTCGTACTGTTAAATTTAAGATCAGTCGAGAATTAGCCGACGGAGTCAAAATGAAAGTTGCAGATCTTATTTTTACCTACGCGTGGATATAAAGAATGTCAAAAACGGAGGTCGTATGTGAAAGTTACGGATTTTAGAAGTCGGAAGTG